GATACTGGACGGACGGTGCGGGAGACGTGGCCTACCGACCACGTTATGCTGCTCTACATGCTGTCGAGATACGCTGTGTGTGCACGTACAAAAGAGGATAAAGAGTCGTGGATTCGTCAGATCCCGTTGCTAGTTTTAATGTACGAGGGTATCGCTGCAGGAGCCTTGAACTTCGACTACGCACCTGCAGCTATGGTCATCGCACAAGAGGGAAGGCCTAAGCGCATCTGGATGAACACAACACAAGACGGTAAATCCGCTATTGACGATCTACGAGAGGCTAACCTTATTAACGGTTTAAAGCTCTCGACCAAGGATTATCACTCAGTGACGGCGTTCCAGGTTTCTCTGCGTGGACTTCAGTTGTTGTCTCAAGTTAGTAAGGAACTCAAGGCCAACGTCGATGCCTTTATCTTCGCTCCGAAACCTTATCGTCGAGAACTCCTAAAAATCCGATACATTCCGATTCGAGACCCTCCAGATGCCAATACAACAATAGAAGCAAACGTCCCTGCTTGGACGTTCACAAGGGGAAGTGATAAACACCTCATGGCTGGAGTAAGTGGGGAGATCCAAATTAATGAAGAAGAACCCGAGTTTAACGAAGAAGGTCGGTTTATTCTGGAATCCATCGGATATTTCAGATACTCCGGAGTGACTGAGACTGAGGATGTGTCGTACGTCTCCAGCCCTTTCGTTCCACAATGTGTACGCAGTCTAGAAGCGTATCAACAATTGTCTTCGAATGCTCATCGAGCACTGGAGGCTGCCAGTGGCCAATCCAACATCCGCGACACACTATCCGAAGCTATTGTACTGGCCAACCCCGTGTGTCTGGTGGGTGAGTGGATCCCGTTTGGATCGAACCAAATCGTCGCTTTGAACGAACGACTCGGGTCTATGGATCGTTGTCAAGGTGGCCTATTCACGTCACTTATTGACGATCGTCCCACTGATACGCAGTTTGAAGTCCCTCCTGGTCTTACAGAAGTTCGTATTCTCGACTATGACCCCGTACGATACATCAACTTTGAAGCCGAGATCAATTTCCCAGAAGACGACGGTATCGTACAAGTGGAGAATTTCGGTATTCACCTCAATGTGGACGGTACGATTTTCTACGGGATCAAAGTGGATGCCATCTTGGACAAGCGAGCGGATCGTATTTCAGTAGATTTACTGTCTCGACTGTTGGTTGATATTCATCAGGACTCGTCCGAGATCATGGACGATCTACTGTCTTCGTATCAAACAAGCTTGTTGGATATGGTTTTCCTGGGGGATATCGCTAATCGCGGCAAGTTTAACATGATTATGGCGGACCAGATCGACCCGTTCATGCCTGGATTGGAGTATATGGATCGGGGAGACTTTGAGAATGAATTGAAGCAGGTGCTGGGTGACATTCACTGTGCTTATGATATCGGAGAAGACAGTGTATAGATCGTCGGGAGGGATGGAATGTTGATTGCCGGGTCGGCCTCCAAACGCTTTGAGAAAGTTTTCATCTCGTATTTCTCGCTCTTGTGTCGAGAAATGTTCTTACGCAGCTTCTTCACTCGAATTTTCGTGCTTGAGGAGCTTCTTAAACACATTCGAGACTTGATATTCCGCGCTAAAGAGGATCCGCATCACCTTGTTACGATCCGAGCGAAGCTAAACCAAGCTACGAACGACCTTATTCTGGTATGTCTTGTTCGCTTATTGCTATATTTTAATTTATTGCTAATTTCTAATGTTATTTTTGTAGTTTACAGACACGCTAGGATACCTTCTCGAGTCGCTGGAATTTGTCAAAATTCCTCAAAAATCACCCAACGCGAGTGAAGAAGAAGAGTCAATCTTCAGCTACCTCGATCTCAAGAAACAGCACCACGATATTTTACTGCGAGCTCGCGATTTAGAGAAACTTGTACACGGTGCAAAATATGAGATAGTTAACTTACGACAGATGGCAGAAGTGCTCAACACCTCGGAACTCGAAGATATCTTCAAGACTGTCGAGGGCAATACCAAGGCGCTTGCGGACTCTTCCTTAACGGTGGAACATTGCGGCTCATCGCTTGAATTGGTGCAAGTGCTGCTTGCAGGAAGCTTCGCCTTTACCCTCCTGGATAGGATTCCAGGAGGTAGTTTGAATGTGGATATGCCCGAGTGGGTGGAGACAGCGTTCGCAAAGACTAT